CACACACACACACACCCACACACACACCCACAAACACACACACACACACACACACACACACACACACACACACACACACACACACACACACACACACACACACACACACACACACACACACACACGCGGGGGATCAGGAGGAGAAGCAGGAGGAGGGGCAATGGCGCAATGCGGCGACGGTCCCACGCGGCCCAAAGCGAGGGGGCCCGAGGATCGAGGCTCGATGGACTCTGGGCGCTTCTCGCCGCCTCTGGGCCTCCAGATGGGGCTCCTCGTCACCACGGCCGGATCTCGAGTTTCAGGCCAGGACGCACCCCGACGTCCGGGGGCCGATTGCCGGCCCTGGTGCCTCCCTCCCTCCCGCCCAGACTTCGGTCGCACTATCTTGTCCAATCCGGGCGTCTCTCCTTCGTGTCGGCCTTCGGGGGCGGTGTCCGGGCCCCAGGGCCCTCGGAACTGGTCCTGGGGCGCAGAGCGGGGCCCTTGGGGAGCGGATCGAAATCCCTGGGGCCCGTGGGTCAGGGTGTCGATTCACATCGGATGTCTGGGGAGGGGAGGGATGGATTGGGGGGGGAATCGCGATTATCCCCTGGTCCTCCTGCCGATCCTTCTCCCGCCTCTCCTCGTGGTCTCGTTCTCGCGGCCCTGGCCTGGCGTGGTCGCTCCTTGCTTTGCCCTTGGTCGACGCCGTGGTCATGAAGCATCGAATTCGCTTTTCCGTTCGCGCTCGGCGCAGATCAACAGCACGTGAGGTAGTCCTAGGCTCCCGCCAAGTACCACTGTAAGTACTAAGTGACGACTCAGATCGCCTCTTCCCCCCCCCTTTCTGGGTTCCCCCAACCCCTTAAAGAAATCCTTCCAAACAGCTGTACACGGCTTGTTGGCAAGACAGCGCTGCGGACCAGACGCGATGCGGGCGGCGGCGCTGCTGTAGTCCCACAACCAATGGGGGAGGGAGGTGAATGCTGCTAGCGCCACCGCGTCCAGAAATGCCCAGGGTGACAGGGTGAAAGCGGGATGGAAGAAATGGAAAGAAATTCGAAAACAACGCGGCGCCGTGGAGAGCAGCACCGCGTTGCTACGGTCGATTCCTGTCTTGACGACCTGGTCCCTGATATCAGCCACCACGCGATCCACTCAACACTGACCGATCTCCGCCATTTGCTGCCTCCAGAGGCTGTCGACCCCATCTTTCGTATACATCGATTTCGCGCCGTGGGCCCAGAATGGCCCCTTCGAAGGATTCTAACCTTGAGCGCCCGCGCTGGCGTCGCCGCCGCGTCGAGGCGTCACGAATTTGCCGTGCTCTCACGCCTACCTTCCTGCACTGTACACGGCTGGCGACGGCAGCGTCCCAACCGCTCGCTGCCGCCAGGCCCCACGGCCCCGGGCTGGAGGGCGAAGGCTGGGGAGACTTCGCCCCTCGCCAAAGAGCAGACCGCTCCAGAGCGGCACGCTGCGTGCTACGAATTGCCTCCCCCCAGCGCGGGGGGCTCTGCTTGCGATCTTGACGATGATCCTCACAGCGTGTGCATTAGCGCCAACGCGTGCTCGTCAATCGACATCGCTGGATGCGACGCGGGCGGGGTGCTGAGGGCCGATGCAGGCTGCGTGATGTCGGCGGAGCCGAGCAGGGTGAACACACACACGTACACACAGCGCACGCACACAGTACACACAGCACACGCAGCACACACACCACACACAAGCACGCGCAAACGCAGTCCAACACCACACATGTCCACACACATAGTCACACCCATACACACGTAGACCAAATACACACGCAGACACACACACACCAATACACACACACACACAACAACACGCAATCACACATTCACGCGCGCAAGCACAACCACAGACAGACAGACAGACAGACAGACAGACAGACAAACTGACTGGGCACACCTTGCTTACCCGATGGCAATCCACGCCTCGCGGGCACGCCCCAGCCGCACTTGGGGAACGAGGCCATGATGCGGAGGAAAGTGGGCGCGCGGTCCGGGGCGCCGGACGGGGGGGAAGGGAAGAAAAGGGGGGCGGGCGGCGCCCGCCGCGCCCCGTTGGCAGCGCCCGCCAATCCAGCCCCAGCCCAGCGTCCCAGGCTGCGCCCCAGGCGGCGCGCGCCCCGCGCCGCGGACAGCACCCCGGGCTGCGCGGCCCAGCAACGCCCGCGCCGCGCCGAGCCTGCTCGGCAGCCCCGCGACGGGGGGGCCCGCGCCGTCGCCAGCTCTCAGGCGCTCCGGCGCGGGCCAGTCGCGGTGCGCAACCAGCGTTCGCGGGGGCCCCGCGCTGGTTCGCAGCGGCGCCCGCCGTGCGGCGGCCATGGGCGCCGTCGCCATTTGCTTTCAGGCGCGCCAGCGCGGGCCCGCGGCGGCGGCGGCGGCGCGCGGCCAGTGCCCCAGCGCCTCCGCGCGTCGCCCGCGCCTCAGCACAAGCCCGCGGCGGCGCGCAGCTGCCGCGCCAGCTCGCCCTGCGGGCCGCGCGCGAGCACGCGGTGCGCGCAGGCGAGCTCGCGGGCCTGGCTGCGCACCTCGGCCATCAGCCACAGGCATGCTGCCGTGCCGAGTCGCCCCCCCCGCCTCGAAGACGAACGGGGTGAAGCGCTCTCCGGGGTAGCGAGCGTGCTTGTCTCGCTCCCCGTGACGGCTCGCCTCGCCGTCGCGGCGGGCCGCGACCCGCTGCCCCGCTGGGGTGCCTGCAGCGGGGTGTCGCGCGGAAGCGTGGAGCCAGCGGCGGCCGTCGTCGTCCTGGTGCTCCAGGTCGAACAAGGCGTGCTCCCTCTCCCCGGTGTGGCCCTGCCGTGGCCTGTCCCAGAGCGGCGCGCGCTGCTCGTAGAGCGGCTCCTTGTGCCTCCAGCGCCGCGGCGGGCCGCCGAGCCAATGTCCGCCGTGCCCGCGCACCGCCCCGCCGCCGTTGTGGCAGTTGGCGCCGTGGTAGCCGAGGTCGTCCAGCGGTCGCGCGCAGGCCTCGCCGCTGGCGTTCCGCAGGCGCCAGTGGGCCGTCGCCGCCGCGAGCTGGCCCCCGGTCGCACTCTGGCCGCCGGAGATGCAGCCGTAGGCAAGCTGCTGCCTCCCAGTGCGCGTCCTCGAGCGCGCAGAACGCCTCGTTGGGGTCCAGGAAGGCTGCCGCGCCAGGCCCCGCTTGCCCTCGCAGAATGGCCTGTTGGAGGAGGGGCGAACGCTGCGGGAACGCAGCGCGGTGTCTTTTGCGCCTCCTCAATAACCGATCCCTGCTGACATCAGCCAGCGTTCCGCCGTCCGTCAGCAGCAGCCCCTGCCGGGCCGGGCCCCGCCTCGCTTCTATTAGCCTGCTCGAGGCAGCGGGCGAGCGCTTTAGCGCGCCGCGCAGCGAGCCGCCGCCCAGGGCCCTCGCGACCTCCGCGGCCGTGCCAGACCAGGAGGCGAGAGCAGGCCAGTTGCGCCCCGAGGCCGCTCAGCCGCTTGGGCAGGCACACGAGCTCCTTGGCCTTGTCGCCAGAGTCTCGCCGCAGCAGCGCGCCTCCCAGCAGCCCGCCAGCTGGGCGTCGCAGCGTCGAGTGGCCTCTTCAGCTTCCGCCGCAGGACGTTTGGGCTGGCGGCGCTGGCGTAGGTTATGTTAGAACCAAGGCTCCCGTAGCTTGCTTCTTTAAGCCCGCCTGGTGGAGCTAGTAGAGCGCGCCCCAGAGCTTCTGCAACCGTAGAGCCACCGCGTCGAAGCAGTCGGCGCGCGCCCCGAGGGCTGCAGGGTTGTCATCAGAGCCCCCCCGCGGCCTGAGGTGCTTGCCGCGCGCTGGATGAACCGCCGTGTAGTGGCGCAGGCGGCGCGACCGCGATCCCGCACGGGGACCAGGCCGCAGTCCTCGCGCGGTTGAGTTCCGGCCGTAGAGCTCCAGGACAGCGTCCATGGGTCCATGGCAGTGAGGGCGTTCGGGGAGAGGCTGGCCTCGACCACGAGGTACGTATCGGTATCGTCGAGGTTGGAGTAAAGCGTGGCAGCAGGGTCCAGCCTCTGGAGCACCGCGAGAACCTGGCGTTGAGCCACCGAGAAGCCAGCAAGAGAGAGGGAGGGTCGCCTTGTCAAGGCCCCTGCTGCATGGCACCTTGTGCAGTGCCCCGCAAGCGTCCCTCCAATAATGGTCCACCGGGCCTCCGTGCCAGGTGGCCAGTGCGGCGGCCGCGGGTGGGCCGTGTCTCGCCATCCCTGCGATGGCAGGTTGGCGTCTCAATCTTTGGAAAGCCGCCTTCAGGTCTAGCTTCAGGAAGACGGCCGTGGGTCGGGCCTCTGCCTGAAGCACTGCAGTAGAAGGTCAGCGCCCTTCTTTCTCCCCTCGCCGTGCTGGTGCTCGCCAGCAGCGGTCGCCAGCCGCTCCTCGCGAGCCTGGGCCAGCGCCCGCAGGCCGAGCCGCCGCCAAGCCGAGCTCACCTGCAGAGGCCAGACCTCGTCCTCCCCTTTCCGAAGGAGATGACCTCGCCCCCCTGCAAGGCCTGCAGCGTCCCTGCAGGAAGAAAGCCAAAGGACAGGACAGGACAGCACAGGTGACCCAGGAAACCGCCTTTGAGAGGAGCTGTATCGTCTCCTGGCTGGCCGCTGCTGTCTCCATGTGTGCCAGCCTCGTTCCGGGTAGGCCTGGGGCAGTGACCCGGGCTGGTTTCCAGAGGAAGCGCTGGATCTCCTCCTGCTCCTCCTCGAGCAGCTCGTCGTCCAGGGCCGCGCGGGCGGCCAGCGCGGCAGGGGCGACAGCGCGCACAGAGAAACAGTCAAGGACCTTTCTCAAAGTCCCTGGCGTTCGCGGGGCGAGCTTCGCGCTGGTGGCTGCCGTCATTGCTCGGCCCTCTTCCCCGGGAGCGGCGAAACAGTGCACCCGGGTCGCGCGCTGTTTGTCGGTCTGCTCGCGGCTTTTCCTCGGGGCGGTTTTGCCGGCCCTGGCGGAAGCCCAAAGGGAAGCTCACGGCCCGCCCCAGAACCACGCGAGCCTTTCTTCGAACAGCTCACCAAAAGTAGCCGACTCGGACGATTTGGACAACAGGAGCATGTCCATGATGATGACCAACTTCCATTTCCTGTCTGCTTCCGGCGAGCCACGGGCGAACTTGAGGACCTCAAAGGCTTTGTGCCGCGCCTCCTTGAAGACTCCCCAGAACTGGTCCGGGACCTGCGCGACAGTCGTCGTGCATGTTTCGAAGGCGTCCTCCCAGATCAACGTGTCCCACCAGGCGGTGTCGGGCAACCGCTGCTCATCCAAGGCTGGGTGAAGGGTCGCGGCGTGCTGGCAGGCGTGGGCGGCGCCCTTTCCCACTGCAGCTCCAGCCGCAGCAGCTCCTGGGGTTGCCTGCACAAACATCCGGGCTGCGTCGGCGTCCTCCTGGGACGCGCGCCCGTGGGGCTTGATCTCGGCCTCCAGCGGCAAGGACACAGCCGAACAGCTTGTGCATTCCCACCGCGCACTTGTGCGAACACCCCATGGACACAGACGAAGCTCGCCAGCGCCGAAGACGAGCCCGGACGCCTTGCAAGTGGCGGGGTGTGTTGATTGCGGTTGGACGGCCACTGCCCGGACTGGCGCTCGGCGCTGGCGGCGACTCACTGGCTCGTCGACGACCATGTCACTCTGCGTCTCAGAGCTAACGCACGGAACGGAATTAAGCGCACGGCCTCTGCCATGGCACTGTTCGCAAATGCGATCACGTGGGGATGTCGAAAGAGAGAGAGAGAGAGAGAGAGAGAGAGAGAGAGAGAGAGAGAGAGAGAGAGGGTGGATGCCGAAAGAAGAAAGTGGAGGGACGGGGGACGGTGCGGACTTGCCCAAACAGACGGACAGAGACAGAGACTGACAGACATACTCACAGGCAGACAAACAGACAGACAGAACACACACACACACACCCAAACGCTTGCACACTTTTAGTAGGTCGGCGGCGCAGAGGGCCCTCAAGCGCGGGCAGCAGATGGAAGTGCGAATTGCGATCGAGCACCGTCGAAGGCACAATGTACGAAGCGTCGTGCCCTGAAAAGGGTAGCAATGGGTGGTCAGAGAAAGGAACTGTCAGCCCAAGCGAAACGTGTAGCGGCCAGTAAACTGATGAGTAAACCCAACTCGAAGTAAACTGAAACGCAAGCAGTCTGGTACGAATTGGCGGCCACTGAATCACCGAAGAGCGGTGTTAGACAGTGAGGCGCAACAGAAACTGCAACAGCTGCCAGACCAGCCGATAAGTGGGATAAACACTGACCCAGCACAGCTCGACAAAGCAGATGGGTAGGGTGTGAACCTACCAGCCGACATCGCAAGCACCGCGATAATGGGCGCAGCGTTGGACCTACATACAGCAACACTACGACAGCTTAACCCGAAGAAGAAACGCGTCGACAATCCGACGCGCCCGTGCCCTTCCAAATGGTACAGGCATGCAGAACCGGACGACATGCACAACGGGCTGCAAGCCCAAGTCTTTTTGTCACGCCATAGGACTGAGCAGCCAGACCGACTGTGGGGTGACCAAGTATCCTGTCCACCGTGCAACTGTAAAGGCACAACCAGCGCGGTGAGTCAGCCGTTCAACCAGACACCCGCCGACACTGACA